TATTTTGCTAGCCGGAGTTATACCATGATAACTCCCAAGCACAGCCAACTTAGGTTTTATATGCAGCAGGCCAGCAGTAGGGACCACCTGTATAGAGATAAGTGAGTGAGATTTCTGGGGGCCAGAGGAGAAGAGATACTTAAGGGTCTCCAGGTTTTTTGCCTGAATACTGCTTATTTGAGATAATCTTTAGGTTAGTCTTTCATGAAGGTATCATATTTAGTGTATTGTATTTTAACTACTGTTAAAGTCATAGGTCTGGGATGGCCACTTAACGTGTAGTAAGTTCCAAAGAGTTTAGCCTTGAGACCACTGTTCAAAACCAGAAACTGTACCTGGTTTTTACTTACTCTTCAGCACTAGTTTAAAAATTACCTGTGTTTCCATGATGTAATTTGCTGTCTGTGTTACAGAGGTAGAATATGAAACAGCAAAGAAAGTACTTATGATTGTGTAAATATGATGTTTACTCTATAAAATTTCAGCTGAAATACCATTAGTGTACATCATGCACACTGTGTTCTCCCAAGCAGATAAATACAGTTAAATGAGAGCTACTAAATAAGTCTCACAGTAGTTGTGGCTTGGCTTATAGGTAATTTCCTTTAAAATAGACTGTTTTAAGGTATATATTGAATCTACATGCACACTTGTCCAGTTGAGAGAAAATACATTCAGCTATATTACCAGAACATCTTTTAATCAGTTTATCTTGGCATCTGTTGACTTCAGGCAGAGGCAGAATAAATTCTGTGTGTTGAAACAAAGATTTTTTGATCTTTAAGCAGTATGATTTCACCTACATTCTCTGATTCTGATGTTGTTGGTTGCCAGTATGCTAATATAAACTCTGGAAATCTATAGAATCAGATAATAAAGCAAAAAAATAGAATTATATAATCTATAATAAATTATAGATATATCTCTATATAAATGAAAGAATCTATAATAAAGTAAAACAGAAAGTTATTTTAATATCTTTAATGTCTTTTCTAACAGCAACGGTTTTGTGAAATGAATGATAAGAAGCGAGTTCTTACAGAGAACTGCAAGGAATTGCTGAAAAAAGCTCGACAGGTCTGCAAACTAAGTCCGGACCAGTATCTTCCGAAAGAATTTCAGACTGTATGTACAAAAACAAATATACACATAACTTAGATTTTGGATGTTGTACACCATTCTAACTTCTCCAGCAAATAATACATATTTTATATTAGAAGTCCACCAGTAAAGGATCACATGTACTTCTGTTATTGTTGACATATATCATCACCCTTTTAAAGTGCCTTAAAAGAGTGCAGGGATATCCTCTGACTATCATTTTGTTCATGTGCAGGGCAGAGAAAATTTTATCTGAAATTTCAATTAAAATCCATAGTCTTGTTCACAAAAATAATTAAATGCCCCATTTTTCTAGCTTGTTGCTCTAATAGAGCAACACAAAAGAACTGAAATCTGGGCCTACCTACTTACCAATCTGGGCCCAATCTATTTACCTGGAGGTCTTCTCAGCCTCTGGAAGTATTTGCATGGCTTAACTAGCATAGCCCCTGGCTTATACCAAGCCTGTAATCATCAGTACCTGCACAAGGTAGACAACTAAGGAGCAATTAATTGTGTATCTTTGTTATGTAGTAGCGCTTCTAGCCGCCTTTCTCGGTCCAGACTAGTTTTGTGAGGGAAGCTTACTGTCTTAAATTTTGAATATGTGACACACTGCTTAAAAATTAATAGAATTTTTTATGTCTTGTTCAATTTACTTATAGCATACTTGAGTCCTTCATTAGCATTGCTGAGTAACACATCCATCCTCGCTCTTGCAGGCTTTTCAGGCTCTTCCAACCACATTGGAGGAAATTGATGCTTTTCTAAATGAAGAGAAAACCAGGGCTTCCTGTTTCACAGGCCTGGATGCTTCGGTATGTTCACTGTTTTCCCTCTGCCCTTCCTTCCTCCCCCTCCAACCGTATTGTACTTGCTTCCCACTGTATGATAGATCTCTTTGTATAATAAGCTAGACAGCAGGAACAATGTGCTGTAAATGCCAGATTCTGCATCTATTAGAATTTTAAGTAGGTTCTTCCAAAAGAACAGTGTGTTCTTTTAACTTTTAGAAAAAAAAAAGTAAAGTTGAAGTAACCTGAAATAGCAGTACTTTACAGTTTGTTTGCTTTAAAGCTAGAAATATATCTTGTTCAGTGTGTAGTGCAATGATCTATATAATTGTGTTTGAACAGAATCAGTGTATTGTGTTATTTTTACAGTCAGGGTTAGGATTGGCAGACATTTTGTTGACTGCTCGGTGGTTTTTTTTCATTCTGACAGGTTGTTGAAGAATACAATAAGCAAACACAAGAAATACAGCAGTTGACAGAATATCTAGAGGAGAAGCAAAATGAATTGGATAAATATAAACAAAACATTTCACAGGTAATAGTTGAAATTCTCTCTTCTGTATCTCTGTATCTTTATTAGAATAAATTGTATGTACAGAAATAAAGGGTAACATCACAAGTGTTCTTTAGTGTAAACTGAAATTTTGGCTTCTGATCATGATATTTTTTAACTTAAATGCCATCTCTAAACCAAAATTCAGTTATTAAAAATGGTTTTACATGGATATGTCTACTTCTAGGTCAAGGAAAGGTGGCTAAACCCCTTGAAAAAGCTGATTGAGCAAATTAATGAAAAGTTCAGTAACTTCTTTAGTTCTATGCAATGCGTTGGTGAGGTTGATCTTCATGTGGAAAATGAGGTATGATTTATTTTTTGTATGGAAGAATAATCGTATTTTCATGCATCATCTTTTGCTTGTATATTGCTAGAGAAAAAACAGTAAGTTGTCATTTGGATTGTAAGAAACGTGTTCTTTGGAAATAAATAACTTTTAGGATTACTTTAAAGGATGAACACACTTCTTTTTGTTCTAGAACCCACTTATCAGTCTGATTGAAGGAAAGTGAATCTTTGTCCAGATGCATAGGACTTCAGCCAACTGACTTTTGGAAGCTTCTTGCAACTTACAGGGCTCAGTTAGAAGCATTGTATTTACTTTAGCTATAACTCAGATTTATCCAGTTAGTGATTTCATTCGACATTTTTAGCTAATTTGTGCTATTCTATTACCATTTAAATCTACTATTTTTAAATCTACTATTTTTATCTACTACATTTTAAATCTGCTATTATTTAGTGTTGTGTTGATTTGATTCTACAAGCTGTTTCTACTCAAGTCTGATGGCATTTTGTCAGTTTTGGAAGTAACAGTCACTTGTCCCAATCTGTTATACTCTTAGTAACGTTTATAGGCAGGGTTTACCTCTAATGAAGAGTTTAAAACATCAATACTACCTTGGGGAGAAATATGCAGTGTAGTGGGCTGAAGAGAAGTTGTGTATTTTATTTTAAAGTGACCTCTGTAATGATGATTTTAAGTCTCATATGTCATGCATAGACTCCACAATAGTGAAAGTTGATGAACTTTTTTTTTTGCTCTCGTAAGTTACTCAAGCAGCTTTTCTTAAAATATTTGAAGTTACTGGTGGGGGCAGAATATTGACTGACAAAGCTCTTGACGTGAACTGCATAAAAATGTTTACATAGAAACCAGTATTATGAAACAGTAGGACTTTACTGTTTTTTTGATAGTTACCTAGAGAGTCAGATCTATGTTTCACAAACACTTTTATCTAAAAGTAAATTGGGAGAGATTACACAGAAGAACAGTAAAGCAGTTTAAAAACAAAGTCTGTAGTGTCTTTCTGAATGTCTTCTTTGGAAGGTCTTGCTTTTCTCTTGCAAAGATGTCACAAATAGTTTAAGATCTTAGATACTAGCACTGTGACAATGACTAACTTCTTCCTCAAGAGGTCAACACCTGTAATACAGAGAAGTGGATAATCTGTTGTAGAGCTTGGATTCCTTACCCTTCTTCTGTGCAGGAGACTTTTTTGCCCTGACCTGTAAATATCAAGAGAGAGACACTTGAGGCAGGTTTATCATTGTTAGAAATATTTTTGTGACACGGAAGTTCAAGCCTCTGTTAGCCTGCCCTGCAGAAGCCTTGAGATCTGATGATGTCCTTGGTGATAGCACCTACAGTGTGAAACACTTCACTAGGTTCTTCCTTGACATTCTAGCAGGAACTTCAGTGAGTGTTCCTTGGTAGCACTTGTTAACCAGAATTCAGAGTGCTAGTAGTGATAACCCTCACCTTCCTCAATTCCCACAGGGAGTTTTGAGCATCATTCTTGGCAGGTCCTGGAAAATTCGTCTGTCATCCCAGTAGTCTGGCAACAAAGGCTTGACTTTCTGTTGCCATTGTGGCTGTGCTGCAGGGTGGATCTTATTTAATGGAGGTTTTGTAGCTTTGTGTCTCCAGCCTGCACCCTGTAAACTTCTCCGAGCCTAGTTTCAGTCTCTTCTAATGCATCTGAAAGTATAACGGGCCTAGGTCCCATTTTTTTTCTCCTTGCATTAAGTCACTATGCTCTTGATGTCCCACAGCCGCATTGCTTTCCCAGGAGTATAGCAAAAGCTCTGCAAGTATCATTAGAGGAGAAACAGAAACTAAATTGTGAACTTAAGGATATTTTTTCACTCCACTATGCTGTGTTCCTGGCCATAATCAAGCTAGACTGTGGGTCTGTTGAGACTGATCCTGACAGTTAAGTACCAAATCCTACTAAAATGGAGAAAGTTTATTTAAGCTATGGTGCTGTTATCTTCACTGATGAGACAAATGTCTTACTAGCTCCCCTTAGCAAAATACCACCTCCAGAAAGGTCAGTAGAGCAACATTAATTTGTTTTAAAAACATGCCCCATGAGTTTCCTTCTTGGGCTGCTGATTATGAGGCATGGCTATCAAACTACAGTCTGCAAATCCAAGAAGCTAATTATTCTCCTGATAAGCTGCATTAAATATCAAATAATACATTTCATCCATAGTGGGGCAGAATTCAGTGGTAACGAAAATCAGCTTGCAAGTAGTTTTATCATAGAAAGATTTGGTTTGGAAGGGACCTTCAAGATCATCTAGTTCCAACCGCCCTGCTATGAGCAGGGAAAGCTTCTGCTAGACCAGGTTGCTCAAAGTCCCACCCAGTCTGTCTTTGGACACTTCTAGGGATGGGGCATCAACAGCTTCTCTGGGCAACCTGTTCCAGTGCCTCACTACCCTTTCCAGGAAGAATTTCTTCCTGATGTCCAATCTAAATCTAACCTCTTTCAATTTAAACCCATTACCCGTTGTCCTGTCATTCCCTGTCCTTATAAAAAGTCTCCCCTGCAGCTTTCTTGTAGGTCCCCTTCAGGTACTGGAAGGCTGCAATAGCGTCTCCCCGGAGCCTGCTCTTCTCCAGGCTGAACAAGCCCAATTCACTCAGCCTTTCATCGTAGGAGAGGTGCTTCAGCCCTCTAATCATCTTCATGGCCTTCCCTGTGTTCACTCCAACCAGTTGATGTCCTTTTTATATTGGGAGCCCCAGAGCTGGACGCAGTACTCCAGGTGTGGTCTCATGAGAGCAGAATAGAGGGAGAGAATCACTTCCTTTTTCCTGCTGGTCACACTTCTCTTGTTAACGGTTGGCTTTCTGGGCTGCCAGCGCACACTGCCGGCTTACGTTCAGCTTTTCATCCACCAGTACCCCCAGGTCCTTCTTGTCAGGCCTGTTCTCAATTCATTCTCCTCTGCCCAGCCTGTACTTGCATTTGGGGTTGCTCCAACCCAGGTGCAGGACCTTGCTCTTGGCCTTGTTGAACTTCATGAGATTGGTACAGGCCCACCTCTCCGGCCTGTCCAGGTCCCTATGAATGGCATCTGTTTCTTCCAGTGTGTCAACCACACCACACAACTTGGTGTCATTGGCAGAATTGCGGAGGTTGCACTCAATCTCACTGTCCAGGTTGCTGGCAAAGATGTTGAACAGCACTGGTCCCAGCACTAGTCCCTGACGAACACCACTTGTTTCTGGTCTCCACTCAGACATTGAGCTGGCATTAAGCATTTAGTTCCATTAAGCATTGCTTTGTTCGAGTGTATCTGTCATGGTCATATAGCACTCCTTCTCAAGACAGGTCTTCAGTTTGTCTTTGGGAGTGCCAACCCATTGCTAACAGGGAAAACATCAAGAATGAGAAAGGTAACTTCTCTTCAAAATTGGAAAAAAGTTGGTGCTTGAGTTTATAACTGTGTCAGGTCACCTTCATTCTGTCCTAAGTTATGTATGCATTTGCCTCAGCCTCAAGAATTCAGTTTCATATTTATGTAATACTGGCACACCAGAAGCACCAGAGGTTTGTAGTATATGAAAGTAAATACCATTATAAAACCTTAAACTTTCCAGTCCTGAGGGTGTTTGTCTGCCTGCAGGAGTACTAAAATACCAGTAACATTAAAAGATGGCTTGCTGTTCTGATTTAGCAGATAAACTGATCTGACAGGATTTGATAGATCATCTCAAATGTTAGATGCTGTCTGGTATGTACTTATCCCAAAGCAAGACCTGAAGGTAGCAAAGAAGCTCATAATTTTTCCTATGGACTTGAAGTTCCTTATGGCAGTTTTCAGACTTGAAGATGTTATGGCTTATTTATTTCATGGTGGCTTTTACACACTGTTGTGCTTCATAAAAGCCAGCCCTACAATGGGACTCTGCTCTGCCAGGTCACCCAGGTTCATGCATCTTTTGATGACTTGTGCTATGTGGCAGTCTAAACCAAACTGGCATGTGCCAGCTTCTATGGGACAGGCTCCTCATTGTCTCTTTGCCACAACTGCTCTTTCTAAATCTAGAAGTCTATTCTGTGAGTAACCGTCAGGAATTGCCTCCACTCCATTCTTCTGTCCTAAGCATTACAGTTGTGTTATTAGAAGAATGTGAGTCCATGGCTTCCAAGTTCAGGATTTATGCTTCCACTGCGAATATGGATAGAACTCTTGGAACTCATATTCCTGAAACTTTGGAATCTTTCCTGTAGCTCTCATTAACTTGATAGGTGCATATAAAGATTGTGTCTTGTGCAGGCCAAACAGTAAGCCATCACTGTGGACTTTCTGCACTGGGTACTGCATTCTTATTCCTGCACTGAGCTTACCTGAACTTCAGAAATATTAGCAAATACTCTGAAAATTTCTCTTTTTTCCTCGAATCGTGACTGTATTTCCTTGCATGCGCCTTCTTTTGAACTGCATCTGTTACCCCACACCTATGCGTCATTGCCTGAGACTGCTGACAACTGTCAGTTTTCTGTTAAAGAAAAGGCCAGGGTCAGAATCCTTCTGTGTGGTTTTCCTGACTGAGTAGGAAAGGGCAATATCTGTCATGGTGGATTTTGCAGGGGCTTTGTATCCAAATCTGCTAGTGGAGGAAAAGTGAAGGATTTAATTAGACTGCTTGTACTTGAGGAGGTTCAGAGGCCATCTTAACCTACATGCACACATTCCCCTTCACCCCACTGTTCAACTTGATTACATCATGTACCCTAATGCATTTTTTCTGATGAGTGGAATTTATAGGGACATTGCTTTCTCCTTTTTCTAGACAAGATTTTTTTGTTGTTGTTGATGTTCTTACTATGTATGAAATCTTTCTTACCAGGAATTCAGAATCTACCAAATCCTTGTCATGAGGAGGGACTGGTATTTACAATTTTCTATCTAACAAAAATAGATCAGATTTAAGGAAAACCCATGAAACAGAATTAATATATTGCTGTTGCTGAACCTGAGTAGTTTGTGGACCGTGGTAGAACATTTGACGTAAATTTCCTTGCATTTGCATGTCATTATCAAATAAGCTGTAGTACAGAGAAACTGAGTTTAACAGGTACTGGCTTTTATAGGAGGAGTACGACAAGTATGGGATTCGCATTAGAGTCAAATTTCACAGTAGCACTGAACTTCATGAATTGAATCCTTATCATCAGAGTGGAGGTGAGAAAAGTGTTTCCACTATGTTGTACCTGATGGCTCTACAGGAACTCAACAGATGTCCTTTCAGGGTTGTAGACGAAATAAATCAGGTGAGGATTTATAGTGCAGCATACAACCTCTTACTGTACAGCTGCTTATGACAGTAGAGAAAACGGGGGGTTTTGGTTTTGTTTGTTTGTTTTTGATTTTGGTTTTTTCTTTGTCTTTTAGGGAATGGATCCAATGAATGAGAGAAGAGTTTTTGAAATGGTTGTTAAAACTGCTTGTAAAGAAAGCACGTCTCAGTACTTCTTCATTACACCGAAGGTGCGTGGTAGGAAATGAAGTGGAAAGTTTAATGTGTGGGAGAGTTGAGTTTTGTGGGATAATATCCCTATAAACACTGTACAGTATCTCTGTTTTACCTAGAAACTTAATATTAAAGGGTAGCTGTGAGACAATTTGTCCATTTTAAGGACAGTCCTGGCAGGAATTCAGACAACTTACACGAGGTTTCATCTCATCATAAGCACATTCTGGGGTTGTAGCTTCTCTGCAAGTATCACAAGTTAATGACCAGTGAACAGGGTACCATGTAACAAGGCTGTCAGATGTAATGCCTCTAGCTTACACAGAATTGGGACTGTAGCACAGACCAACTTTCATACAAGTCAGGCAAGTGCTGCTGACGTTAGACAAATAGAGGAGTGCCATATTAATAGAGGAAAACTATTTAAGTAATAATCTGAGACTTAGAAGCTCAGAAAAGTCAGTGCTATTCCTCCATGGAGAATGGCTTGGAAAAGGACCTTTCATTCAAGAACGATCATTGCTTAATTGTGTTTTTCTGTTAAAATTTAAAAAAATATATAATTGACTTAAAAGGTGAAGTAGCAGAGTGATGCTGTGGGTTGAAAGGACTAGTAAGTAGGGTGACTGTTCACCTTCAACTTGATCCAAGACAGACTGAACAAGTAAAAGTTACTTGTAGACCAAGGAGGTAAGCATTCAATAATGGACTGTGTGTTTTTTCTTAAGATTATTAAGATACCTGTTCTCCTGCATCCCGTACTTCACTGTATTTTAGAAAATCTGACTGGTATGTGCTATTCTTTTCTGTAAATAGCAGTTGAAGGACCTGAGAAAAGCCACCTTACTGCATTTACCTGACTGAAAATATGAGGAAGGTCATGCTTGTTGTTCCTTCTGATCTTGCAGTATACTTATCTCCACACAGTTTGGTCGTTTCCTGTCCATGTTACTTCATCTGTGTGTTACCTATCCCCTTTTGTGTTGCAGTTTCTCTCCTTATTAGATCCACTTTTCTGTGCTCTCTCCTACTTTGAGAAATAAGATTGTGGTTTGGATGTTGAAAGGACAGAGACAGCCATACCAACTATAATGCTTCCCACATACAAGGCAGTGTAGAAAATGACTGTCTAGGGTTCAGAGTCTGTTTTAAAAGTTGTGCTTATTGTCACCTTACTAAGAATAGACAAAGAAGAAAACTGAGTGTGCAGAGGTACCCAGAAAGGTGAGAGTAAAAATGAGAAAGCAGAAGTAAGGCTTAATTTAGCATTATGGTAAGAATGTGTAATATAAGGAATGTGTCGCACCACTATTCAGCAGCAAGAGATGGTGTTTTGAAGAGACTTCTCCACCCGCCTCTCCCCTCCCTTGATCAGCTGCAAGTAGGTGATCACCACAGTTAACATAGTGAAGTTGTAATGACCTATCACAAAGAACATAATTGAGATGGCCTTTCATGTAAAGGTTTTAGTGAATGAGATAGTTTGAGTGGGCTGCATCAGAGGGTAATTAAAGAGCAAGCTGAGGAGAAAGCCAGATTCTGCTGTTCCAGTGGCTTACCTGCAGTTTCTGAGCCTATGCTGTATGTCATAGCTTACTAGAAAGCAAGTACATAATCACATACTGGAAATGCGCCAGTTTGTCATACTAAGCTAAGATTTGTGAATGTACCCAGTGGATACAGGAAAAACTGTTAGGGGTTTTTTTAAGCATGTTGACACTTTACCCAGCTGTATCCACTAGCTACGGAGGGGAAGGGGTATAGGTTAAAATGCAGTAGAGTTGATTAGGAAAATGTATGCTGAATAGTTGTGGTTCACTGTCAGAATGAGTAGATTAACTGAATGTGTTCCTTAGGAGTGAGTCTTTGGTTTGAAAATCAGTATTTTAAGTATCAGTCTGTGCTGAAACAGATTACATTTATTAAACATGCAAATAATCACCAGTTTGAGAGTGAATGTTTCTTTGCTGTAGAGGAAAATTAGAATTCAGAACAATCAGATTAGGTAACTTCATTTGAAAACAGGATATATTCCAGCACAGACAAGCATAAGACTTGGTATATAAGTGGGAAAAATCAACAACAGCATCTGGTCTAAAGTGTAAATTCCTAAGTGACTGGGGATACCGAAGTTACTGTGCATGACAAGTTGAGCATTAACTGCAAGTGAATTGTGAAAAGTCATCCTGAGCACTGCAGATAATCCTACAGCTTGCATGACTTTGAGTCTGCTGAGCTTGTGCCTGACAAGATTTGGACTACAGTACGTGTTCCACTTTGACTGTTACATTTGAGAAAAGTAGTACAGTGGCTGTAGTTATTCCCGAAGATGGCAGTGCTACTTCTAACAAGTTTTGAGTTTCCACTGACAGAAATTGCTTAGCTTGGAGGTGCAGGAGCCTGAAGAGAGACATAATTAATTGTGCTCAAGTAACTACCTCATTCCCTGTCCTTCCTGAAAGAAAAGCAGCCAATATTCCATGCCAGTTGTGGATACAGCAAAATAGTAATGACTTCATTTGCAGCAAGAAGGTACACATTAGATACAAAATTTCTTCTAGTAAGAGCTGTGAAGCATGGAAATTGCCTGAAGAATTTGAGTGGAGTCTCTTTGTGGGGTTTCTAGGAACACGTATACATCATCTGTCAGAAACGCTGTAATCCTGCTATACTAACCTTTTGAGATCAGAGGCATTACATAGACCTTCTTCCCCTTTTTTTACGTAACAGGAAACATCTCTTCTTGATATTTCTTTTTTGTTTTTTGTGTTTTTTACCAGCTCCTGCAGAATCTCACTTACAATGACAAGATGACAGTGTTGTTTGTCTACAATGGACCTTTTATGTTGGAGGCAAACAAATGGAACTTAAAATCTTTCTGTAGGCGGCGGAGACGACTTGGAAGGATGGATGAACAGTGATACATACACACACACACACACACACATATATATAATGGTTTTGTAGAACTTTGTGGAACATCTGGCTTTCAAGACTAGAAACTGTGAAACATGAGAACCTGCAAAGAATTGATGATGAAGAACTTTGATTCTTAAAACTTGTATACAAGTGTAACAATTGAAGTGTATGATTTCAGTTTTCAAATCTTTCCTAGTGGCCTCTTTCTCCAAAGAACCTACCTATTCTCAATAGTGGCTTTAAATAAAAATAAAGTTTCTTGTATTCTACTATTTTATCAGTAATGTAGCATCAGAAGTACAGTTAATTTTTCTAGGTTTCACTGGACTATTCTATGTTGGGGCTTGTTTGTTTGTTTGTATGTTTGTTTTTTCCCCAAAGTTGGAATTTGCTTTTGGTAAATAATGTTCCCTTAACACAGTTTAGGATGCTGTCCAAACTTTTCCTGTTGAAATGGAAACTTAATGAATGAATGAAGATGATGATGTGTAGGAAGAGAATGATTTGTGCATTGGGGTTTTTTTTGGTGAAAATATACCACAAGTTAATATAAAGAATATACCATTGTTAAAATAATATACTTTGGTTTTATTATTTTTGCACTAATGTTCCATTTTGTATTCCAGGAAGGGTAAGGTCTTTATTTTTCTAGCAAGTCTGTCTCAGCAAGGACGCTGACGAAGAAGCATTTTTGAAACAATGAGCTAGTTAGCTTGCAGAAGTGAAACTAAGCAATATATAACTTTTTTTTTTTTCCATAAAGTAAAACTTTATATTTCTGGTAATAAATGGAGAAAATTGTCCTTCTGATTTCCCATGGAAGTTAAACCCAGGAGGCATTTTACAGGGCTTCAGCTGCATTGTATACACAATGGCTTTTCAACAGATAGCCATAAAATTAATCAGTGGAGTTTTGGCCATAGCTGTAAAGCATTTGAGTGCAGATGTTATCAACAGAATGCTGAATACCTAAAATCAAGTCCCAGTTATTTAGTCAGTGATATTAAAAAAATTAATAATGAACTGTGAAGACTATGATTTATAAAGAAAATGACACTACAGTTAACATGTAAAAATTATGGAATCCCAGGACACCATCTGCAAATACCCTTACTTTCATGGCGGGAGTAGCTTTCAATAGAATTTTATACAAAATCTGGTGTCTACTTGATTTTTGGGAGTTTTTCTGACATTCTGTCAGTGAACTTTGCCAATAGAATTGATATGTCAGGCTTTTTACATTAGAATGTTAAAAATAAAATAACCTGCTGCAGAATAAAAGCTAGTATCTTAAAGGTTTTAGGTATTAAAAGTTAAGTCTGTAATTCTTGTTTCAAATATATAAGCCTTTAAGAGAACAGAGAATTACACATTCTTATATCACAAGCCACTGCTGATCAATGGAGCTCTGTCTGACTGTGAAATAAGTTCCATGAGGATTAGTGCCCATACACAAATATTTGACAGAAGAACTAAGAGTGTGGAAACTCAGGCTGCATTCCAGTGGGCCAGCAGCGTATCCTTGACTTAATTGAGCCTACAGGCCTGTATGTTCACTCTGTTGCAAGATCAGGGTTTGAAATGTGTTGTTTGATATTCAAAATACTTGGCTTCTCCTAATCCTGAACTTTCATGGGGGAGGGTGTTTTAATTGAATGGAAAAACATACATTCATTTTAGTCCCTGAGGATATGAAAACTGCAGTTTGTTTTCAGAGTCTAAATAGGCAGAACTACTTATATGAACATGTGTTAGGACTCAATTCTTCTGTGGCTAGACAGCACTGACTGTGCTTTATGATGTCATCTTAGAACTTCATGGGATTTCTTCCTAGACTTTAGTTCCTTCCTCCTGTTTCAGACAGAGGTGTGAAATACAAGTGACATATCAAGAGGGTGACACTTCAGATCCTGTCTCAAAAAGTATATCCTCTCAATACATGCCTACCGGACTTGCACAAGTGAGGAGGATGATGGCTTTGTGGGTGTTTGCTTTTTCCTTGCAGGTCTGTCAGCAGTTGACCAGAGGTCCTGGTTTCAGTGTATCTGGCTACAATCTTGATATGACACTGTCCCAGACACAGTATAATGAGTTGCAGAAGTACCATCATGTTACTGACCAACAGAACTTCACTATCCAACAGCTCTGCTAGATAAAGCCCTTAAAAAAGAACCGTAAAACCAGCTTTGTATATAAAAGCAGCCATTGCTATTTGCAAATGTGCGATACACCATGACTGCACCTCCCATATATGTTCCTGTTAGTAACCTGCTAATTCATGCGATAGGTGCATCCTGTCCACATACAGATACCTTCTGGTTTAGAAAGAAGTCTTTTGAACTGGATGGTGTATTCAACCATGAAAATCCACACCGTGTAGCTTAGTGTGGCTACAGTGTTATTTAGCATTCCTTACCTGGGTATAGGGCCCTTACATGCTGACAGATTTTTTGCAGTTCTTCATGCTTTGCTCCTGCTCTTCAGTTCTTCAGGGACTCTTGCTATAAAAACCTGTGGTAAATTTCAGTGTAACTTTGGGGGGGTGGGGGTGGAGGGTGGA